ACAATGGAGTCGTGCCGGTCATTTCGGGAAATTTTTGAATTGAAAATAATGTAACCTTCTTCTGGTCCAACCAGAAGTCCGTATATGGTTAATCAAAGCCTCTTGCCCCTAAGGTTTCCATGTTTGGTTTCGGATTTCGTCTGTATAACTCCGTTTTCGAGATTAAGGAAAGACAGGCAGACGGACGACAGTGAAATGGGAATTTATAGGTCTATAATTTTTTCAATTTGCAGCCTAATAAGTGCATAATAGTAAACGTAAATTTAACAAACTATTTTTTTTAGGGTATTTCAATAACATGTTCATCAGAGACGTTTTGAATCTTTTTATCCTATATGTTTTGTAAATAAAGATGTAGATTTAATTTATCTGTTACTGTATGTTCTCGTTTAAAATCAAACATTAGGAAAATATTAGAATAAAAAATCTAAATTAAGATCAGTAGCTAAAGAACAGCTTAAACTATACGACAATTTTCAAAAAGTTCTAAGTTAGCGCCACTTCTCCTCTTGGTGTGCAGTCATTCTTGCTTCTGCGATTCTGTACATGCAGATGAAGCAATTTAGCTTGTACAGTATTATATTTGTGCGATCGCAATAAACCTCTGCTAGTAAGGTGATAGGTATATAAATAGTTATTCTGAAATATCCACATATTCGGAAAATATCTCAAAATGTACCCAGCTTATTGTATTAAAGATGCCGGTGAAAGGAAGATCTTTCGTTTGGTACGGCATCATTGTTTCTTCGGAATTACATAAAATTACATTCGCGAATTTCGCAGATTTTTAGTAAACTTCAAATACTTATACTATAATCCATTTATTCGACACGGTATAGAAAAGATTTGAATATCATTTTGGTTTTAAAATTTTGGTTATTAGCCAAAATTTTGAATCAGATAGGATTGACCTTTATAGACTACAAGTTATACAGTTCTTTTATATGTAAGTTAATCAAAACTCATTGTTCAATAACTTTTATATACTTAAAATAATACGATTCCTAGGTACAGTACATTTTACAGATAATTCAGTCTTGTTTAGTTATTAGCAAACTGTAAAGTATTTTAATGCGAATAATGTGAATAAATCGCGTCAAATCAAAAATTTTCGAATATGTCGATGAAATTCTATGGTGTCATCCTGTTAGTATGATCACAAAGATTTCATAAATTAGATTTTTTTAAAAATTGAGTAAAATAATAGTTTTATTGTTAAATCTCTCACATTTTGATTAATTCATAAAGGGTTCAATATACTACTGAAAATAATGTTAATTATAGCAAATAACAGAAATTAATCATAGTTTTCCTATAGTTTTTATAGATAAATATTATAACTAATTAAATTTTATATTTTTGATGTATTGATTGTGATTTAATTACTAATTTAGGAAATTTTATTTTAGGAACTCAATATAAGCATCCACACGGATTATATCTAGTGTTTCTTTTTAATAATATAACATTAAAAAAGAGAGACGAGAGATTGAAATCGTTAAATTGATTTGTTCTTAAGGAAAATTTAAATACCTACAAATGGTAATTGTTTATTATCTGGATAATATCTTTGAAAATACTTTTTATTTTATTTATTGTAATCGTGATTATAAGTGAGTTGTTAATAATTGTTTTGTATGAAAATTTATTCAAGATCGTTAGAAAATTTTCTAATTAATTTTATGGAATTTTTTTTTTATAAATTATTCAAATTAATTACTTACTTTTGATTTCTGTTTATTAATTTTAAGCATTAAACCTAATTTATTGAATTTTAATTCTGAATATAACCTGTAATAAACTGAATTTATGAAAAAAAAAGGAATATTTATTTTTATAATTAAGATTAATAACATTTCTTATCGTTTTTAATTAATTTTTAATTAAAAAATAATAAAATTTTTTAATAACAATTTAAATTTTTTTCCCTCGAATTTTAATTATAAATGCTAAAATCTGAAAAAATGTTTTTGATGTCGTGCGATTTAATTAACGTTAATTAAAAGAAAAATTTTAATTATTTTTCTTAGCCGATGAATCACTTTAAATCGTAAACACTTCAAATTTTAAGCGCACAGATTTATTAAACATGATTTTTTAAGCGTAATGTATCTTTTAATTATGTGTAGATTTAAATAAAATTTGAAAGATAACGTGTGATTATTGATTTTAAAAAAAAATTTCTGATCATTTTATTTTAGCTACTTTAAATACTTTATCTAAAAATGTTAAGTGTTGTAACAGCTGCTGTCTTTTATAAGTGTTCCACAGGTGTATCAGATTAATCCATATCACGTGTAACTGATATCTTTTCGTTGGCTATTAATCAAGAAATTGCGTTAACCAAACACGAAACAATTTCATATGATCCTTTTACATTCTTTGTATTATTGAAATATTTATTCTCTCAAATTTCATTTTTTTCTATTTTGTTAAATACTTCAAGGCCATCCAATCAGTATGAAGGGCTATCGAAAGCTTGATGTGAAGCCCAAGAGTAGAGTTGGCCTCTTCCCTATTTCTAAGAAAATGAAATACGTAGAATGTAAGTTTCTTTATTAATAGTCTTAAAGATTGTTAGTGAGAATAATATTAGGAAATAGTCGTTTTTACCCCTATAAATTAAGTATTCGAAAATCCTCGGCTCCCTCCCTCCACGGTTCTGGCAGTCGGAATGATTTGGTGGGCGTGTAAAAATATTTAACTACATTTTTATACAATATATTCACGTTTAATATTTTATAGAAATTTTCAAAAAAATTTCAAATACATTGGAATAGTATTTACTTTGAATTTTTCAAAAATTCTGTTTGTTTTGTTGTGTGAAAAGGATTTCTTGAAAATCCAATTTAATTTTAATTAAATGTTTGTTTTTGTTTACATAAAATCAATACCTATTGAAAACTTAAATAAAAATTTAAATAGATTCCGTTTAAATAATTTAAATAAAAGCTATTTAAATTAAACGCTTGTTCGCATCCTTAGAATTAGTGTTTTAACTACATTGAAAAAAATTCTTCTTTCTACATTTAAAACTTTTCTAAATGTAATTTTTGTTATGTACCGGGTGATTTGTAATTAAAATATCCTATTAAACACTTTCTAGAGATGTATATTAGAAGTCCAAATGCAACTAAATTTGATGACATTTTCTTATGCTAAAGACAAATTGTATTTTACGAAAGATTCACCACTGTGGCACTTTTCCGCGCTTCAAGCAACGAAAAGCGATTTTGTTTGTCGGGACACCTAAAAAATGTATTTTATTGTGGGCATGTTGCAAATTTGATAACCTTGACAGTACGTTGAGAACACTATACAAAATCAGTGATTGTCGGCTGTTGAATACATTGTTTATCTCCTTCAGGTTTTAATCTTTAGAATATAGAACACATTGAGCAGTATTCTCTGAAGTGTCTTTATACAAATAATGTTTATTACTTACAGCGCCAAAAATACCGTTGTGGCGAATTGGGTACTAAATTTTTACGTGTTTTGAAAGGGCCCCATGCCAAATTTAGTTAAAAGTTCAAATGAAATTATTTCTCTAAACAGTGAAAAGTATTGGCATAAACCAAATTCTAGTGAAACTTAGGTATAATCAAATGACTTATGCTTAAACTATAATCTCTAATGTAGCAGTTTTCAATCTTATCATGTCCACAGTTTATTCTTAACATTTCTTACTGATAATGATTTACATTGTTTAGATATAAAGTATTTTCTTTAACATTTTCTCCACTATCTCAAGAGTGAATATTCATAGTGATAAACTTCATTTTAATGGATGAAAGGATTTGTCTTCTGATATTTTAAAATAATCATTAGTGAAACTTTGTACTTACATTTTAAATATGCGTTGTTTAATAATCTTTATTATTGGCACCCTTTTGATATTCTAGCATATTGCCGACGAATAACTATCGTCTATTCGTCCCATCTCTTCCATTTGTCAATAGTTATAAAAATTCTGATTAGATTATCTCGACATGTTATCGGAACATATGCCATAGGGACAAATTCCGAAAAATCTAAATATTTCTATTGAAAAATATTCCGATTATCTAAGTAATTAGTTGAGATATACAAATCAAATACGATTGGGTGAACAGATGATAAAAAATGTTCAATAATTCTAACTAAATTACTTTTTATGGAATTATGAATTATTGAGGCAGTAGCTCTTGAAAACACATCTAATGCTGAGTAATATCAAATTTTACCAAAATGCTACCTCAGACCCGATTTTTGGTTTCTAACTTACGGCAAAACCAAAAGTTAAGAGGACCAGGAAGCAATTCCAATAATTTACAGTTGTACTAAGATATAAAATTTAAGAGTTCTTTTGTTAGTTGCTTTTTTTTTTTTTTTTTTAATTAGAGAAATTTAAGTTTAAAGCACACTAATACTAGCTCAAAAGTGAGATTGTGTGTGGCGCCATCTGTTATGAGATTTTATTTTAAAATAATTTTTATAGTATTATTTATATGAAGGCAAAAGGCTTAATTTTAAGGATTAGAGATGAGTTTAAGAAAAATTGTAAATGCAAATGAGTAATTTTAAGTCTGATATCAACACGACATATAACACGACTTTTTTTTTTATATCTCCCATCTGCATGACTTTTTAATTAACAAAATCTAATAGTCCTGTTGTATTGATTCCCCATTCTTAGAAATACCCCCTCCGCGAAGTTTCAAAATTTTTGATTTTATCCAGTCCTGAGATAATGCAAAATAGACGCCGACACATGCATACACAATTTTTAAGAGTTTTTTTTTTTTAAATACTTTTAGGCTCCTGGAAAGCCAAAACGTTGAAAATGCAAAAATAGGGAGGATCAACATTCCTTTTTTTCTCTATATTAAATTTACATATATATCCGTTAACAGCTGGGAAAGTAATAAAACATATAATAATAATAAAACATATCTGAAATTTATTATGATTATTATATTTCATATCTGAAATTTATTATGATTCATCAGTTGGCAAAAGCTGAATTACAGCATTGACAAAAGTTACACAACAAGAAGCAAGCGTTGGAATCCAATGAAGATAGAGTATTACAGCAAAGGGACAATTTCTTGTAGAACAACTATACTGTTTAAACTAAACGTTCCTTTTAGTTCCTTGTACAACCTCTTTGGTTGGATGCGTGTTGCAATGAGGCCTGGCATGGAGGTATACGCGTACATGTTATCCTACGACAGATTTTTTTTCATGCATGTTGCAACTACCGTCCCAGATCTCGCATTCGTAGACAGCCAAAGTTAGTGTTTCATTTGCAGATTGGGCAGATTAAGGAAGTGTGATTACTGGAAAACCCTACTGTGTGCAGCCAATTTTTTTGCTGGAAAATGATTGCTTTTTCACGACAGAGCTGCAAACAATACCTGAGGATTTTCTAAACTTACACGACTGTTTCGTTAGTATCCTTCGTATTACTACTAAGGGATGTTCGATTGACTTTGACCAAAACGCCAGCAATGGAAGCAATGTGCCACTTAATAATAAAGGCGGGATTGAAGCGCTAATTTCAAGACTTATCAATGGTCCTCCATATAGTTGTCCGTTCCCAAATAGAACCAGGATTCGTCACTAAAGAAAACTCTGCCGGTTTGCAGTCCACAGGACACCGTTTTAAACGAAGGCGATGGTCTTCATTTGCAATAGTTCGATGTTGGAGTGTTAAGGAGGCTTCCACCTGTTTCTGGATGGTTGAGAAAGCCATATCAACTGTTCTTACCTCAGACGATTATCTCTACTGGTAATCCGTTTGATGGTCCGCCGAATGTGTACCCTCGTATATCTACGGCGCAAACATCACCTTAGTCAAGTCTGAATGGTCCAGATTGAGATCGTTTAGACTATCCCGCTTGCCTCTGCTTTGTGATGCGGTCCTTTCTCAAACTATGTCAACAGTGAACGTCTGACTTCTAGATGTGCTTGGCATTTGAAGACTTCCCGATAACAGGTACTGAAAAATTCTGAACACAGTGAGCATCTTCGGTCCTTTTCTTTAAGATACTGGGATAGAGATTTTAAGGTCGTCCTAGTGGTTATTGCCTGTCTGATATATAGCTGTATGCGGAGTTTTGCAGTAATCGGACAATTCTATCTGGGTGCGTAACTTTTTTTTATTAATGTGTGTTTATAATTTAACAATAAATGGTATCCAGATACATTGTTGTATTTTATTTCCCATGTTTGTGATTGTCTAAGTATTGTACTTAGACTCATTTTAACATTTTAATAGGAAACCTCTTAACTGTTTACTAATTTACTAATTAATTACCGTCTTATAGTATTTTGTAAGGAATTAAATTATTCGTTAGATTGCGATTGCATGTTTAAATTTAATAAAATTATATTTTTAATAAAACGTAAAAATATATATTTTTTTTAAATTCCCAAATCTGTAGTTTTTTACAATTAGTAATGATTTTTAGTGACTTTTTTCAGTTTATTTTCAGTTATATTATTATTTTGTTGAAATCGCTGGGTATAATTTGTTTGCTGACAAAAAAAAAATCTCGGAATAAATCCAGATTTTTAGAATCCAGAGTTTTTAAATGCAACTATGAATAATATTCTTATTTTTAAAAATTCGTTGTAAGGAACAAAATATTTTTAATGGGAAATTTTAACAGGCCTGTGTAATCTTAAACTGTTCTGTCCTAAACCCACTGTAATCAAGTGCCTTCCTTCCGCATAGATTTATTTAGTTATTCTTAGTATTGGGAGAAATGAAATAAAAAAAAAAAAAACAGTTATTAATCTGTTTTTTAATTTTTAATATTAACGATTTGATTTTTTTTAAAAAACTTATTACAATTTAATCAAATAGCTAAAAATTTTGTTTTTAAAGATGTTTATTATAATTATTATTATTCTGAAAGAGAATTTTTGTAATAAGGAAGTTATCATCACCTTTTACATGAGTTAGGTCTATTATATAAAACTTTTAATTGGTGATACAATTTAAAACAATAAACATTAAATTACATTATTTAATCAGATAATAGCACAAATTATTCATAACTATTCGTAGACGTTAGTTTGAAAAGTAGACAGAACAGTTTCAGAAGATATAAATATTTTTGAAAAAGAATTTAAAGAGTAAATTAAAAATCTATAATGTTTTCTAATTAAAAGAATTTAGAATTTTCGAGCGATTAAATTTTTTTTTCAACGAAATTTTTATGAAATGTAAAACCTTTTTGTGTTAAAAAAATCCGCGTGAAGTTAATTGTTAAATCTTCGGGATATGTTTTTAAAATAGAATATAATAACACTTCCATATATAACCTATTTGCTTTTCACGTTTCAAATGTTTATTCTACCAGCAAATTTCTATTTTTGATATCTACAGCTGCTTAATTGTAAACGCAAATATTCTTTGTATAGAAGTGCCAGTAACTAAAACTAACGCGTTGTTATAATTTATGATTTAACAAATAGAAATAAAACAAATAGAAATAAAACATCAGTTACTGTACTTAAGTCATATTTAGATTATAATAATCTTTCGGATACATTTATATATAAAATTTACAAAATAAATGAGATTTCAGATATATATTTTTTAAAAATTCTTAAGTGAAAATAAAAGTACACTGTTGAATTTTTTCGAAGTACGGTATAATTAACTCTTCCATGAAAAAAGTATTAATCGTCTGATGTATTTTTCTATATTTAAAGATGCTCGATTTGTTTTATGTATTTTATTTGAATCGTTATGATTTTATTCTATATTATTTCACTTTTGTTTAATTGTTAGCTTTCATCATAGCCTATTAGATTATCACATCTATTAGGATTGTAATGATTTGATACGTCAGATGTGAAAATAGAATTATTATAAAGCATTACATCAAAGTATAAAAACGCCTCTTCTTCCTATAGTAAATTACGCATATGATTCATAACACTAACGTTCCATGTCCTGTGATGTCCTAATATACGGTCCCCAAGGCTTTCACAACGAAATTTTATTTTCCTTGTTATGCCATTATGCAGCCCTAATTAAGCGATAGTTTGAATAATTTTCGTCACGAATAAACTATCAGTGAAACGACGAGAATAAAATATACATTATTATTTTGCACATCATTAGCTTATACTTTAGTATCTAGTGTATTGCGGAAATGAAGTACTGTATGCCCATAGCTGAACCAGAAATTTTTAAATAGGTGGTGCGGAATGGAAACAATAGATTTTACGAAGTTTTTACTATTTGAGATACCCGGAAAAATTCTCCAGAAATGGTGGAAATCGACTTACTCTAGGAAAGGATTTAGGGAGCTGCTAGCTTAAAGCCTGCAACTCCGTAAGGAAAAAAAAATGCATAGGCTCGCCGGAAGCCTGCGAAGTTCACTTGTGGCCTGCATCCGGAAAAGTTTGCTCGTCACTGATTTAGAAGAGCATGTAAGCCTATATACAGTGTATTTCTAGTTTTATTCGGTATTATTGAAGTGAAAAAGCAACAGGCGATTAAGTAATAGTTGGTTATTTTTCTTTAATAAATTATCCAGGAAAAAGCAAATTATCATTAAATGCATCATTATTTACTTTCATAAGTTTTAAAGTTTATACAAGTAGTTTATAGCTTATTTTTTAAAATAATAATCGTACATAACGGACTGGATAAATTCCCCAAGAAATTCTGTAATTGAAATAAATTTTAAATTATCTGTCTTATAATGTATTTATTTTTAATAACGCAATGTTTTCGTAATCTTGCAGTTGATTACCTTTTTAACTTATTACAATTCTAATCGAAATGGAAATTACTGCAGGAAATTGTTCGATTTTTTTATTACTGTATTTGTATTTTCAATTTATTTCGGTCAGTACATATAAATTTATATCTAAAAGACATTTCCCGTAGTAGTTTTTCAATATTAAAAAGAAATGAAAAAAATTGAATTGTACTTCACTTTTTTCAACATAATTTCAACTTAATGATATTCAATTAGTAAAATATTCAAAAAAATAAATAAAAAAAAACATTGTGAATTCTATGTCGAAAATGTTTTTAACTGTCTCAGAAAAGAATACCACATTGTTGTGATATACTTGGCTTATTTCTCTATTTTATGATTCAACTTTTGTTAAGAAATTTTACTTAAATATTAAAAATTATATGCAAAATATTAACACGAATAAAGTTGATCGAGAAATCGAAAGAGAAACCTCAATGACTAATCAACTTCTACAATACAAATCTGTGTAAATTGTAATATAATTAATTGTCTTCTAATTTGAAAACAGTGTGTTTTTATCTGTTTATCTGTATTGCACAATGAAGCGCCTTCGTTAGACCCAGGCTTTACTTTACATCCATCTTTGAAGTGGAGCTGCTTCTTACTTTTGCCATTTTCCATTAATTGCGATGCGGAATCCAAAAATGCAATAAAAAATGGGGGTTTGTTTTCGGGATATAAGGTCGTTTCACGAGCACGCGCGACAAAGTGATATCGCATGAATCGCGCGACTTTGTCGTGTGATGTTTCACGGTCGCTAGCACGTCTTGTATGGGCTTATAGAATAGAGTTCGTTCTCAAAATTTAATGGATCGATTTTGATAAAACTTTGCCATTTTCCATTAATCGAAACGGGGACTCTAAAAATGTAATTTTGATCTATTTAAATGTAAAAAAAAATTCAGCAACGAATTGCTTAACTTTTCCGGTAACATTTAAAATTCTGGTGGCGCTATCTGTTATAATTCATTAAAAAAACTGTTTCTGCCATTTTATAATAATTAAAAATGTAAGCTTAATTTTGAGAGTAGGGACGGGCTTTATAAAAAAATTGTAAATGCTAATAACGAATAAAATCGTCATTAAGTCCACCTTACTCGAGATATGACACACAACCACTCTATCTCCCCACCCCGTCGACCTTAAACCACCGAAATTTAATAGCATGAATCTTTCTAATACACAAACTTTCCTGCAAATTTTCGAAAGCACAGGCGTTAAGCTTCAAACAGGGTAAACAAAATCGTGCCCCCACACCATATATAAAAAGCACACGCACACTAACACTCGTACATAAAGAGAGAACACACGTATTAACAAAATCATATATGTTTTTGATCCGTAGTGTCAAACATGTATGTATGTTAAACAGTGTATATTTTTTTTATAAATATAAAATTTATAAAAATTTTTATTAATTCATATCATGCATATTCAAGCGCGAATTCACGACTAACTAAAAGTGTCGTGTTTTAATATATATAATGTACTGTACTTAGCCACTGGTGCGCATACATAGTATTTCAAATATGAATTTTTAATATTTCTTTTTTAAAATTGTAATTACTAAAAAAAATATTAACTGGATAAAAAGTGGGAAAATTATTGTACACGAATGCATACTCGACGTATTCTATGGAAATACTGTACCTTATTTGGAAAAATATTTGTTCTTGATTTGAGCACATTCCATGGATGCAACCGCGGATGCACATTCCACGGATGTAAATCGCGATAGCACTGTATTAGTAGTGTAATTCTTCTAAGAAGGTCAATATTCTTCAGTGTATGCAGTATCTTTTCAAGGTCAAGTTATCAAACTCGTTTTCTTTTGTAGAATATAGGTCGTGCTTTAGAATTGAAATTATTCATTTAAATACTTTTAAATTTTTTAAAAATTTGATATTTTACAAGGTTGTACTAAATGTTAAAATCATGTTAAATTTTTATTTTGCTTTTTCCTTTATTAATAATTGTTTTTTTTTTATTTTACAGAATACATTGTTTGAATCGATGCGGCGACGTTGGATTACTGTCAGCGGAATTTTGTTATCCTCATGGATTCTAATATATTACATATTAAATAATTACTACGAAGTTCAGTCAACAGATTCACCTTTTGATCTTACTCTTATTTATAACTGGATTGTTCACAGAAATGATTATCAGAATATAATTCAGTCCCCCAAAACTGTACCTATTCTAAGTCCCACTGCACCTTGCCAAGATAGTCCTCTTCTAGTCATTATTGTGTGCTCATCATTAGTTAATTTCATACCTAGAAAAGCTATCAGAGATACGTGGTCTCAAGATGCTGTTAAATCGGGAAATTCTAAGGTTTTATTTTTGGTTGGAAAAACCAATGATACTATATTTAACAATGCTCTGGATGAAGAAAGCCGTAAGTACGCAGATATCATCCAGTACGATTTTATGGAAAGTTATCACAACTTGACATTAAAATCCGTCCTGTTGTTAAAATGGGTGATTAATTATTGTCAACGCGCTCGTTACGTAATGAAAGTTGATGACGACGTCTTTCTTCATGTCCCGAACATAATTCGGTATTTAAGTAAAGTTTCAAAGCCTAGATTATTAATGGGAGTTAAAGTATATTCTGCAAAGCCTGTGAAAGATACTGATTCTAAATGGTACATGCCTTTGGCAGAGTATCCTAAAACAGTGTATCCAAATTATTTAGCTGGTCCCGGTTATGTAATGGGAAAACATGCTATAGAAATATTGTATCGAAATTCTTTCCGCAAACCATTCATACGTATGGAAGATGTATACATTACTGGAATTTGTTCTGAAGACACGGGATTGTTTCTGGAAGGGCATGACATGTTTACATACACTAAAATTCGAAACGATCCTTGTCTTTTTCGCAAAATGTATGCAACTCATAGAATGTCTCCTGAAGAACTTTATTACATTTGGACTAAAGTTCACGATTCATCTTTGTTGTGTTATTGGTGGTCGCAATGGATATATTGGAGGTGATAAATACATTTGCTGTAAATAGTACGTAAAATACTCAACTAAACGTTGTTGTCATATCATACTTCCAATGTTCCTGTTCTCTATACAAAAATGATTGTATTCTTTTATATAAAACAAGTCTTTCGAAATGGCATGGAAGATGATCTGAAAGAGGTTAAAATCTAAGCATAGAGAAGGGAATTAAAAAGTTACAGCTAGGATGAAGGCAGTACTTTGAGTTACATACAAATATCAAGTGCCTAAATAGAATAAAACTCTTCAAGCAATAACTTTTAAAGTAAATTTTAATGTATGTAATTGTAACTTTATGAAAAATCTACGTTTAACTAGTTACTAGTTCTAACATATATAGAAATTGTTATCTTTATTTACTATGCATACGTAAAGTAAGACTCTGTGATTATACAGTGCCTACATGTGCAAAATATAAATGAAGATAATATGACTATTATGAATGAAATTCGGTTTTCGCTAGAATATAATGCATGTTGAAAGCTTTATTGCAATTTCAGCTATGGTTTATGCCTTATGATATTGTGAGGTTATGAAATGTTATGTATATAATACGTTGTAATTCTATATTACATATAAAAATCCTCTTGGCCATAAGATTATGGTAGAAAAAGTTGTACCATTTAAATTTAGAAAATATGAGATGTTAACAAATACAATTGTTGTTCGTTTATTGCATATAAACCTACACGAAATTCTAAACTGCAGACTGACATTTTTAATGCATGATAAATTAATTGTAATATACAGTTTAGTTATTTTGTCTAACACAATAAAATATTAATCTTTTTAATGCTTATGTTTTTATACAGTAACTTCATTTATCTTGTTTAGAGATGTTTGGCAGTCCAAATATGTTGGCATTTGACAAAGCCGAAGACATTTTCATTAATAGCGCACAACTCGCCAATACGGCACTTTTGGCGCTGCCAGTTGTGTAACCCGTGCGATATTTTTGGGGGGTATTTTAAATGTGATTTATCGAGAACATTTTCCAAAGTTGGTAATCTTAAAAAGCACTGCATGCGAAGAGCATCATAGAGGATCAATTAAGGTCTCTCGTTGAACACACCTTCAGAATGGAGATTACATTGAGCCGTATTTCCTGTATCGATAAGGTGTGGTCTTGTAGAAATGAAATATTTGACATTTTTGGCGATGCGAGCAACGTGGTGTTTCGGTACTAAATTTTTAAAGAAAATATTTTTCGCGTGTCTTGAAATGTATGGTAGCATTTGGACTGCTAAATCTCTCTATACAGTGTAGAATGGAAGTACTTTAATTTCGATAAACAGATACTTATGGTAAAAATCAGCTTAAATGTTTCACTTAATATATAATACAGGAAAAGTTTCAAGCTGCGAAGTAATTCTTAATAATAAGAATGAACAGATATAGGTGTTTACGAAGTTTTAATTTGAATATTAGAGGTTTCGGCGACGTTTTCATCGCGAAAACGTGAACGTTGGACGTTCAGCGCCGCAGGGCGTCACTGGAATCATGTTCGACGTTCCAAACTCCATTGTCAAACTTCTAGGCTTACAGGAAGGCGGCGCTGAACGTCCGACGTTCACGTTTTCGCGATGAGAACTTCGGCCGCAACCTCTCTATTAAATGATTTTTCTATCTTTACGTACATTTCTCAATTTTAAGAAATTTAAACAATACAATAGTTATTTCTTTACTGTCCTGGAAAATAGTTTGACGCCAGGATAACAACCTGTTTTAAAAAGTAAGATTTGTAATAGTTAAATGCAAACAAAAGTATTAAACTGAATAACATTGTCGTTTTAGCCATTGGTTTAACGAGATTATCGGAGGAAACCTAAATGTTATGCCTGTTTTTAATGGCAGAATTAATTATTGCTATTACTGTTATCCTCCAGTATAAATTACTATAGAAAATCTTTGGGGTGGAGAGATTTAGATAAGGGCTACATGCTGGCCAAGGTAACACCTTCGTTATCTTTGGGGTGGAGAGATTTAGATAAGGGCTACATGCTGGCCAAGGTAACACCTTCGTTAGCAGTGCTTTCTCAACAATAGAATAGCTCAACCTGAACTGGATTATTTTACTGAAAAGAAATTTTTTAGCCCTTTTATCATATATGAGATTTTGTCTCATTCGCGTGATTATCAGGATAGTTTAAGAAACTAAGACCATATGAATGCTACTCAAACCATTATTGTTCCACTTCCTTTCACACAACCTGGTAGCAGATAAGATTCTTGACGTAAATCGTGCTAGTAATATTTAATTTGAATATTAATAGCACTATTAACATTTTAACATTACTTAAATTAGTTTTTCTATTATCACATAATTCCATGTTTCTGAACATCCAATATATTCAGCTGCGAATGCTAAGTTTCAATATGGCTAGCTAATAACTTTAGTTCAACTTCACGTTCATATACAGTATTTACGATTTAAATTTTACTAAAACGTATCTTGTTGACTTCGAAGTGATAGTTGGCTAGAATCATATAACTTCGGATGAAGCAGTACCAAATTTCAGGGTCTTAAAAATAATTTACCACAATTATTTAAATCTTTCAGTAAGTGCTGCAATAACACGCTCTGATTTTACATACTTTCGATATGAAGTTGTATTACCTTTTCACGAGATAATTAACCCATGAAATAGAATAAAGACGTTACTATAGAGAATATGTAACTTATGCAACTATGCATATTTTTATTCTAGAAACTTACACATTGCTGCTCAAAATTTTATGACCAATAAAATTTGATATTTTAAACATATGAAAATTTTTAATAAATGGGTATTGATGTACGGTAACTTGTTACAGAAAGAAACTTTTATGATGGAAATAAGACTTTTATTTTAAATAATGCTAGAAAACAAAAAATGCGATTTTTAAGCTTTCAATAAATATAAGACTAGTTACAAAATATGACCAAAACAAATTAACTTTAACAATTTTTGTATATTGCAGTGTAGGTAAGTATTACGGTACGTATTAGTAAAGTATCTACTCTCGTAAGATGTTTTAACAATAATAAAGAAATCTAGCATGGGAAAAAGCATGCAGAAAGAACCTCATAAATATGGTGTATGCACGGTACTAACTGGTCACGACGTCAAATAGTTGCAAAAGTCAAAGCCCAGAAAATAGCTCAGCATGCCATCCAATGAGGAGTTTCACTGGCATATAATGTCCAGGACGAATAAGGAGTTTGTCTTATAAGACGAGTCGTCCACTTGCAGATTTTTTCCGATGATTTCTATTAAGTGAAATAGCTAACCACCACCCAAGATATCATGGCAAACCATTTCTCGTGTTCCAATGACTAACTTGACTAATTACAAATCTAATTCTAATGACTAACTACAAATCTGGTGGTCCGAAACCTACATTGATATAACATCAAAGAGAAGCGCGCATGGAAAATGCAAGACTGCATCAAGTGGGACACAGTTTGTTATTCGTTGAGAGAAATTTTAATTTAAATAGTCCAGACGGCATACACTATTATTGGCATGCTCTCGGATCACAATGTGAGGTCCTGATGAGTCGTCAGAAGGTGATGTCTCTGATTTAGGGAACAGTTTCAGCTAGCGGAGAACAGATTTAGACATTGTACTAAAAACAATGAACTCTGAATCATTATTCTTGACATGCGGTTTTGCCTGACTTCTTGATGAAGAAAATTTTCTGTTTTGGCAGGATAATGCTGTGTGTAACACCTCCAATGAAATGTATGAGTGACCATGGAATAAATTGCTTAGTGACTTGCACGATCATCTGATTTGAATATTTAGAAAATATGTGAAGCTATTTGATTCGTTATATATATATATAATCATAGAAGAGAATTCTTGTCGGTTTTGAATTAGAAGAGCAGTTAATAATCTCCGAAATCTGACTGATGCAAAATATGCCAAAACGAGTTGTTCTATGCGTAAAAAATGAAAGTAGGACCAACATCATTCTAATCACCACATAAGTTAAACTTATACCAGTTACGAAATGTCTTTTAAATTGCATATTTTTAAAAATAATATAAAATTAAGTATTAGCATTTTAAGCAATTTTTAAGCAAAAACAAACCATAAATTAGTCTTCATATTTTTACCATAAAATGGTTCTTTTGTAACATACATCAATACTCATTCAATAAAAATTTTCGTATGTTTAAAGTAACAAATTTTGTGGTACCTTTTCTAATTTCGATTAGCAGTGTAAACATGAAAATTTATCCCGAAAAATTGAAACCAAGATCAAGCACAGGAGATCATTTGAGAAATTTATTAAATAAAATATACTCTATTATATTATTTTTTATCTGTTTTATTTTTATGATGTATAATAAATAACATGAGTAATTTTCGTTAATTCTTAAAAAAACAACGTATTAAATTTTATTTTGTGATCTCAAACTCTTGCAACGCTATAAATTAGATATTTATACAATACTATAGTCCATTGTGAGCTTAATACTGTATGTAGTGTTTGTCCGTTTATTTGTCTGACAACGCCATCTGGTAACATAAATTAAAAGTAAATTAATATAATTTGAAAATAAATTTCAAATTTTAATAGATTATTGATATATTACTTTATCACATCTATTATTTAATTTATGGTTAAAAATATTTAAGACATATTATCTAGAATATATTTAACAACAATATGTTTTTATATAAAATCTGTAAAAAATCATTGGAAGAGGATCAAAAGTTTCAAATGTTTGTTCAGACTTCAAAAAAAAAACTTCTTTGTTTTATATGTTCTCTGACCTAGTAGCTAAATTAGATCGACTATTTTTACTGAGTTGAATATATCCAATGTTTTTCTGTGACTTTGTTTTATATTAAAATTTGATAGTTAACCAATAATTTGATAATTACAATGTATATTCCGGAAACGCTATTACGCGAAATTACGGAGAGTCATATTCAAAAGGATTAAAAGAAATTTATTAGACTCAAATTCTTAATTACATATATCCTTATATTTTAAAATGTTCATTGTAACGATATATGCCTAATCATATGATTTTCATTTTAAAAAAGACTCCCAACGTTGTTGGTAATAAAAATGAGAAGAAGAAGTACGTAGGATACCGCGAGCCGAAACCGCGATTGGTCTAGAAAACCTCTTAGTACTCTCAGAAAGGAAAATTATAACGAAAGTTTTTGCAAGACAAAGAAAAGGATGAAGATATCCCCATGCCAAGTGTTACATTATAATTTTTTTCTGACTTATATCTGTCAGTGACGCCCGCAGACTATACAAAAGGGAGGTACAAGCTGTAGAAAAGGGCATCGTACATTATACCAGAAGCGTTCCTACAAGGACTGGTTGCAATCGAGGCTAACTTCGCCTCCAAAACAAGGAACATACCTGGTTTTGAAGGCCAAGTCTTGAAAACCAGGTATACAGCGAAGTTGCGTGGAACAATTGAATAATGAACAATGGTTCTTTAGTTTTTATATTTGCGGAATAGATCAAAAGTCATTAATCAATAGTCATAGACTAGTATTTTTAAAAATATAAATACATTTTGTGCAATTATTTTCATATTTTAACGTACGTTGAATTACTTAATGCGGTTATAATGAAATATAAATTTTATGTATTTTGTTACAAATTTCTATAATATGAAAAACGATGTTAAGATTGCTATTGT